ACGAGACCGAAATTCTATGATTAAAATTTCATCTTCTGTAAAATAAAATGTTTAGTTAGAAAGAAATATATACTGATACAAAATATTCCTTGAGAATATGTTATAATACAATGTTAATCGCGTCTTTTAAATAATTGAAGTACATAGAATAATGTTATGCCAATTGAAGAATGTTAATATTAACTAACAAAATAAGTATATAAAATTAATAATAATATTTCTACAAAACTAAATATAATAGTATAAATTTAGTTATATGATAATATTGTAATTTAAATAAGTTGTATGAATGTTACTTGATTATATATATACTATACTATATATTATACTATATAATATACTTTGAAATATTTCCAAACTAAAAATTAAAAATTAAACATACAATAATATTATGTGCTTTAAGTTCTTCAATTGCCCATGTACTATGCTTAGGTATTATTAAGTTTAGGAATTTGTACTGCGCCCCTCCAATTATATAATTATATGGAATATATTATATTACGTGACCTAAAATTTGTAGCACTGGAGTACAATATGAAAACATGAAGCATGAACTAGTTTAGTTATTACTTATACTTTTCTACTTATCATACTCTTAGGCTTTTGGTTTCTGGACTTCTGGTGGGAAATTGAATCTTAATGGTAATTTGGGAGTCTAAAGTAAAAATTCCCCGTACTTTTAAAAATAACCGAGAGTAACAAGAATTTATATGAAAATACTGTTTTCATCAAAATCGATTTTCTTTTTGTGTTGTTACTAAAAAATAAAAACTGAAAGACTTGACATTTTCACTGAATATTATATTAGCATTTAACATACATTAAATAATGTTAAAAATATTTTGCCTCTCCTTATGTTATTTTTACTCCTTTTTAGGCATTTAAAATTTTTTTTCCTTTTTATACTTAAATAAAATAATAATAAAAATAGTAAAATATAATACAAGGTTCCTTATAAGTTTCCTTATAAGTTATAAGTTTCTCATAATTTAAATAAATTTAAAAAATATTGAAAATAATATAATATGAGCATATTTTTGATATGTAATCGTTTAACAATAACATTTACTATTATAATAATTAATAATTAAATAACAATAATATAAGAAATACTAAGTTTTCGGCAAAAATTAATAAACCTATACCGTATTTTCTAATATTGTTAAATAAATTACTATAATGGCAATATAATTATATCATAACTCATAAGATATATTGTTAGTAATATAGGCTGTCAAGTGACAGACTGTCTTCGCTCAGAATAGTTTTTGTGAACAATGGTTTAGGTATCATTGATTTCAAATTTAACGCATCTATAATTACAGTGACTTGCTCAATGTTGAGGTACGTTCACTTGATACCTACTGAATAGCAGAGCGGTTACTCCCCTTTTTAATTATATTTGTTAATGTCACTTGGTAAAGAGTTACTTATAATTGTTTTTATTGCTAATATTTGGAACTAAATAAGACGTTTCAAAGACTAAGTTTATTAAATGCTGCTTCAGCAACTGTGATTCTAGGAAACAAAAAAAACACGTTCACCCAGATAATAATAATAACAATTAGCCGAAAGTTATTAATGTGGTAAAATATATATTATTTAAATTAAAGAACACAATTGTGAAAGACATAATATGAACTAAAATATTTATTGTATATGATATGTTTTCTTATTAGGTACCTATTCTGTATTCGTTAAACATACATTTAACATACATTTTTTTTTATTTATTAAGTATTTGCTTTGTATTAAATTTGAATAAATAATAAATTCAAAAATATTGAAATTGTTTACAGTTCAACAAAAACATTGTCATGGAAAAAAAATGAAATTTAGATCTGAACTGAGCGACCGAGAGCGAAAAAAAATAGTTCTTCAACTTTCCAATTACCATAATATTATTAATTTAAATGCATTATAAAAATATATCCTTAGAAATAGATTTAGATACATCGTTTCTACTGAAATTCACTTTTTGTATGAAATTAATTCTGTATAATGACTATAATCTAAACTTTAGATTCTAAAGTAACCTACTCAATGACGAGTTGAACTTGGAACATACTATACAACAAAGCAATAATTATCCTGGTTTTTTCATATTGATTATTAGGGAATTGTATATTGTAATTTTAAGTAAATATTCGGTACATACTTTATAATCACTGTCATCACTCGCAATATATAAAATTATACATACTATAAAATACGAATGTAAATAAATAAAAATATAATTTTTTTAGGAACAAAAGTCATAATAATAATTTATACGAGGTATATAATAAATTAATTTAAAAAATTTATTTTCCAGATATAAGATTTTAAATAATCTTCAAAATCTCCTACCTCAATATTCATTTGGTTAATGCTAAAAAGTGCAAAGTATATTTATATAGTTGGTAGTGCTCCACCCGTACTATATAGTAGATTCCTAACAAATAGTCAACACATTAAATTAGTCTTAAAAATATATAGTATATGTATCTGCAATCAAACAGGTAGTTCCCGTTACGGAGTTTGTGTGTGTATTAATGTGTGTACAAATGTGCTTGCCCTGAGTGTTCGTATATACTGTGATCGAATTCAGAGATCACCTTAACTAAAAACGGTATGAGTTTCTGATATAATAATAATATAACTAGAACCCGAAATCTAACCAAAAAAGGAATCAGACACGACTACAAACACGATTAATACCAGGCCAAATCATCTCGACTCGTCGACAAAATTCCAGTAACAATCATAAGATTTTAGGCTATTGATATACAATTTTAAACCAATTTAATTTCACCACTAGGAGATACTTATGATAATATATTTGTATGCTTTCCTATCTATTTAGATTTGTACTATTTTTCTCATACCAATATATTATTATAGGTTTACCATATATTATATATAAATTAGAAACCCACACATAATATAAGTTGCTTTATAGCTGGATCCGCATACCATATTTTTATAAACTAAAATTTAGAATATATCTATTATACATCTATGTATATTATTGTATATAGGATTATAATAATAATTCGAAAACCGCTGTACGTGGTACGATAAAATTTAGTGAACGTAATAGACACGACGTCCGCATTTATAGTATACATTAGAAACTGGTTGTAGTGAACATCGATATATTAAAAAGAATGGATAGGACATCAGCTGCATGTTTTGTAATTGAAATACTAAACTATAAGAAGCTGAGGTGAGATATCAAAGCATGGTATCATGATAACCACGGAATTTATATTGATAGTAATCACTTCACTTGGTTATCATTCCGATCACAGACCCTCTCTAACATTTAGTATAGCTACTTGCCAATATTTAGGCATGTCCTATTTTATATGATTACTATTTACACAGTACTGCACTCTTCAGTAGTAATTTGTGAGGGGCCAAGGAGAATGTTTGTTATAACCACTTATAACCACTAACCACTAACCAGTAGGTATTTCAATAAAGCAAAACTTTGTTTATCTCATCATAGAAACTTATAAAATATAATAATTAAAATCAGTCAAATGAATTTAAAATGCTTCATAAGTCATAAACAAATTGCCTACATACAGGAATGGTGGAATACCGAATAAGCACTTGTCGGCATTAACTAATAAACAAAAATTGGAAAAAGCAACCATTTCAACGTATTGATATATTATAACTTAGATATATGGAATTGACAACTTCTATTTTTTTCACTATATCTACTCAGTTTTCGGAGTAATCCGGATTTCAATGCAAAGTACATTTTTTTCTTGAATGTTCTAGATTTCTAGAACAATGTAATTCCAAGTATATAATTCGATTCATATACCAAATACTCCGAAAGTGAAACTTTTATTTTGCTTTTTTAGGTATTTTTTTTAATTTTTAGAGCACATGTACCGAATTTTAGTGTGAATTAGGCAATTAAAATTGTACAGCAATAAATGTTATTAGTCTCAATACTCTTAGTTTAACAAGTATATAAAAATATAAAATAGTAAGAACCTAGAACTAAACAAAATTTAACATAATCATAGTTTTTAATTATTGCATGTCAAGAATGAATAATACAGCTCCAAGAATATTAAGTTGTTTTCCAATTAAAGCCATCGCCTATTATATATTATTGTAATTTCTTATTTTTTCGTCATTATTGTTTTAATCATAGAATCATTAAACTTCCTTAAATATCAAAATAATTTGTATACAATTTGTAATTAAGTAAAAATAAAAAAAGCCATAGGTATGTAATATTTTAATGGCGTTATGTAGTTAAAAGTAATCTTTTAGTGTATTTTTTGACTACATTTTTAGAGAATTTAGAGCTTAAACTATTATATGTATAAATAATATGTGTGAACCGAAGAACACCAAGAATATGAATCCATATTCTAATATGGATCATCAATATCGAGTTTGTATCGTGCATAATAATTAAGAACTCATACACGAAGTAATAACTCAACTCTAAATTATGTACTGTTAGAGTATATAACACACATGACTATAATAACCCTCCAAACCCAAACGCGAACATCTCGTGATCTTGCACTCGTGATGCGTATTTGCACGTAGACAAAATTTGCATATTATTACGATTACAGTCTCTTCATTGTGATACCTATAATAAAGACATAATATTATAATACGTCTCTGTCGTAATATGCACATTGGCGGAAAAAAAATGAAAACCATTTTCCAAACACACTTTCCGAATCGCCCTGTATGCGGTAGAGTGTCAATAGCTATAATAAGTATCAATAAGTATATACAAGTAATGGTAATATTATTTTACGCGTGCTCGAGCGGGAGAAAACGCCGCCGCAGTCATCCTCCGCCAGACCGATCAAGCGAAAAAAATTCTTCCGCGCGCCGACCGGTGCCCCCACCGCCGGGTACGGGTTCCCCTCCCCGCGGCGGCGCGACGGACCGCAGCCGCGGCCGCGTCGTGCATTCCGTTCGGATTTCGTCGGACTGAGTCAGTAGGGCAATCGCGCGCGCAGACCGGTTACACTCGGCGGCGCGGTTCAGTTCAAGGTTTCCCATTTCGGAGAGTTCAAGGCATATATATAATAATATAAAAATAATAATATTATATACATGTCATACGCGTGCCTCGTAAACCGCCCGCCCTACTGCCTCAATACCTGATAATATAATATCACGGTGGTCGGCCCCTCCCCCCGGAAAAATCGTCATCGCCCGTCGACGGGATTTTTATTCTATCGTCACTAGCCGGCCGGCCGCTGTACGATCCGCGCTCCGCTCCGTTCCGCTCCGGACGCGTAAATAATAATATATTATAGCTGATACGATATTTTAATACTACGTTATTACGTCTGTAATACACCGACAGCGCGAGTTGTCCGCCGGTTTTTTCGAGTCTTGCGGTTCGGTTCTGGACCTCCGTCGTCGATTCGATTCATTGATTTATTTTGAAAACATTTTTCAATTTTTCGATTTTTTTTTTGTTTTTCCAAAGTTTTCCCCTACCAACCGGCCCGCCCCTGCGCCACCGACAGATCCAAGCTGTCTCAAAACTATACAGTGGTGACAGTCGGAGCGAACAGCCCCGCATCGTCGCTCGGAAACAAAAGAAAATCGTCTGTGAACGACGGGAAAACATGAACAAAATCACGTGAGATCACCCGGCGCACTGCAATTAGATCGCGGATCCTCGTGCAGTCGATTCCTTCCGATCCCATACAAATTGGAGCACGGTGACTGGTAAGAAACCAAAATCGAAAAAAATTAAAACAAAACATTCATTATACCTACTTATTATTAGTATTATTTTTTTTCATTTTTTTTTATAATATAAATAGAATTTGTATTTTTAAATATTTTTCTTCCGTCTCAGTGCTGTCGCAAGAGCACAATATTGTAGAGTCATGATACACGATAACAAGACGTGTATACTTATCATACAATATAATTTATACATATAGGTAGATATGGTATTATTTATGAATAAAATTCCAATCGCACTGCATAACGTCATCTCATCATTCCGGTTAGTGGTATACTCGTAATAGTTGGCATTGGTAAATTGATTGCTGCTCAATAATGTGCTAATGAACTTAATTATAAACTTTTTTGTACCAAATGTCAATCCTGTCTAAAAATCAATTCTATAATGGGTTGTATGTATTGTGCTATTGGCGTAATAGTAAAATATACTATTTATTGCTGGAAATTATCATCTTTGTTTGATACTCAACAATTTGATAACAACTTAATACGAATCCAAATAAAATTAATCACAGTTCATAATATAATATACATTGACACATTGTCATGTTGTAGGAGTATAGTACATTATTAAAAGAATATAGTTTTTAGGTATCTAAGTATTCGAAATTAATATTCCATTCTAATAGGTACATTTTTCTACCAAAAATTTTTCTAAAATAAAAAATATCTTTTTTTTAATTTAGAGCAACTTGTTGTGTTATGTTTCTAATTAACAATATTGTAGTATTTACCAATATGATGTAAATATGATTTTATTACCAGTAATATTTAATGAAATATATTAATACAAATCTCCAAAATATTTTATTTTGAAATATCGATGATTGAATACCCAAAACCCAAAATTATTTTAACTTAATAAGTAGCACCAGAACTATCATATTTTTAATCGTCTATATATATTAATTTTAATGTTAAAAACTTAAATTAAACGCATAAGTTTGTAATGTTATATATTACATGGATACTTGTACTTTATACAATTGTAATTTTATTGCTAGTAATTTTCTATTATTTGACGAAAGATCAATATCAAAACACGAACTAAGCTACTAACTAGAATACAATCACTCAGCTATTTTATTTTAAATTATAGGTACAATAATTATAGGGTACACGAATAATACATTAAAATTACCCTTTAATTTAAAATAATTGCACTGCATAATATAAGTACAAATTTAAACTGAAAAACTTAAAACAGCAGAAATACTTTTTTTAAGATATTTACTGTGCGAGAAGTTTGATTCTACGACCACCTATCATTATACAATTAATATTGCCCTACATCATTATTGTTGGCGGAAAGGTTCATTTTCAATCACAGTTCTAATTTATATTTTTTAAACTGTAAGATTACTTATATATTTTAATATAGTCTTTATTTTCAAAAATATGCATAGAAAATAATTTAATTTATACCTATTATAAATGTATAAGTATGCAGAATTTTTTTTGGCTATTATTATATTTTTTAAATTATATTTCATTTGTATCAAGACTGTAAATTACTCAAAAATGAATATTTACCTGCTAAATAATATTGAATAATTAAATACATATTTAGTATTTAATTTAATTATTATTTTAAATATGAATTGAGTTAATATTTAATTTGATGTTGCATGCATCCTGAGAAAAATAATTCCTAAATTACGATCGATGACATGTAAGTTTATATTATAGAGTCTTATACATCTACAAATCATCACTTTTCAATTTCTATCGATTTTTCTAGTAAAAAAAAGGAAGTGTTTTTTTTTACAGAGATTAGGATATTGACAGTAATATGCAATTATTATAAGTATAACTAATAAAATATTAACATAAAATATATAATAGGTAGATAGACAGTAATTTTTTTGATCATATTTAAATATTTTTAGAGTATAAATAATTTAGTCGATTATTTCAAACGTAAAATCGTTATTGACGACGATAGAAGAAATAAATTGAAATCTATAATATAGAACAATTGTATAATGATAATTTAAGTCCATCCTATACAAGAATCTTTAGGTCTAGCCATTGACACGTCAAAATAATAATAACTGTACTTAAATTTTTCGTCTATTCATATTTTCAATGAAATCACATTGATACCTATACCGTAAAAATTGGAATACTTATGAAGGCCTTTTGCCAATAAAATATTGTGTTTAATATTTAGTAGTTAAATATGTTTAATATAATAATATGATCATTAAAAAATATCGAATTTCAAATTAGCATTGTTAAAAAAATGTAATGATTTACTAGGGAATATAATACAATTTTTAAATAACATAAAAGTATTCATATTTCTTAATGCAATAAACGTTATTTTCACTTAAGTAGATTCCTTATTATTTGTTGTACATAAGCATCTATGTATGAAACAATAATTTTAGTGTAAATATTTCAATATATCTTGTAATATTCTGATTAGTGATTTCGTTAAGTAAACTATAAAGCTTTTTATTAGTTAATACTTAATTCTTCTATAGTCTATAGTCTATGCACCATACAATAGATAATTGAGGAATTTAGATTATAGATATTGAGAAAATTAAAAATAAAAATAAAAAATATGGGTATTCATAAATTATAATGGTCTAAATGTTTTCTTCAAATCGTTTAACATAATAAATACGTCTAAATTGTTCTTATATTCTTCAATTAACGTTTAGATTAGGTATACCCTTTTTAATATTTCAATGGGTGTCATTATTCATTCGAAACATATTTTGATCTCTGGACCTTTCATTTTATAAATTTTCAAGTAATAACTGAAATTATAAAAAAAATTAAGAATTTTATATCAATCTTTTTTTTTACAAATATTTACGTTTTGAAAGATAGTAAGTATTTGTTTGTAAAGGGAAATCGAATGAGACCAATTTTTATGTCTCTTCCTCCAATAGTCCCACATACGGAATTCGATATGATACATTTTATATATAGGTAGAATATATCAGTATAACGCATACCTATACCTTAAATTAAGAAATAACAGTACATACTTACTAATAACCGTGCCATGTTATTTATATATGATAACATCATTGTTAAAAAATTACGTAGTTTGAATTTGGTAATTGTATTATTCATGTATTTAATAACATTAGCAAATGCAAAATATAGATAATATTAGAGTCTCTATAGGATTGCTTAAGATGTATACAATATTCTTTCATACTATTATATTATTGCGATGTATACCTAATCGGATTTCGGGGAAATGTATAAAAATAACTCTTTTTAACCTATCTATTATCCAGCAGTATTCTGCACTATTTAAAAACAATAAAATGTATAGTTTTGAATTGTTATCAAAAATAATCCTACGTCTGATGTATGTGTGGGTGGCTGGATGGGGGAGGAAGAAGGTTGAGCGTTGTAGGATGCTCAGCAGAATAGGAAGACAGCTGCGTGAAAGGATCGAAGACGGGTATTCGCGATGCCGTTAGACATATAATATAGATTTCATGTTATAGCTATATTATATACTTATATATTATACATTTAGAAGGAGTCTGCTTGGAAGGTGCGAATAACGTGGTCTCGCCCAAGTCTTTTATTTTGTATTCATTTCAAATCAGATCCGACGATCAAATGATGATGTTCGTAAATGTACCTATGTGTATAAATATATTATATCTAGGGGGCAGCGATATACATAATAATCATGTCTATATGGGTCCTTTCCTTATACTAACCGAGTGACTTAGATACCGTCTTAATTGCAGTAGATACTTACATATATTATATATACACGATTATAAGCGTGTGTGAGTACGTATAAAAAAAATAAAAACATTCAAACGACATGTCATGATCATTATCATTACAATCATTATATTATTATATACACAGTGTCCCATATATCAGAAAATGTATTCGTGTGACTTTGCGGTCGACGTCCGCACATTACCCGTATATGTGCATGCGTGTGAGCGTGTGTGTTCGTTGTGCGTGTATGCGTCGTTCTCCAGGCATTATTATCATGTGTGATGGACATACGATGAACGACAGTCGACAGCGACGACGGTGATGACGACGATGATAATTACGATGGCGACTGGTAGACTTTATCTTCGTCGTCAGTTTCATACACTGTTTGGAAACGAATTAACTATGCATACGTAGACATGTGTTCTAACAGGCGAAACTTAAGGCAACCTTCTAGGGGCTGTAGTCCCAACAATAAGTTAATGAAGGCAATGAAATAATGAAATATAGCATATTTTGTAAAATAAAATTCCCTAGTAAGCTTTTAGAACTGAAATACATTTTTTTGTTAAGGGGGGGGGGGGAGGCTAAATTTATGTTCTGGTGGACGAAGTTTCTTAATTGTACCAATATAGTGTACACGGTCATCATCCTGTCATTTACCGTCGTCTGCACGTGCGTTCTCACCAAGTAGTTACCCATTCGGTCCTTGATCCGTTCCGACGAGTGACGAGTGACACGACTATCGACCAGCGGATCCCGTTTCATTTTTTTCTGATCATATAAAATAAACGGATAGGTCGGGTAGTAGGGTCCTAAACATATAACTTATGAGTATTTCTGGCATTGTATTATATTTGTCGGCGTTGGTCGTCGCGTCTTCGCTGGGAAAATAAAAACGCTAACGGCGGTTTTGTTTGTTATACAATATGATGTGACCAGTAGGAACGTCCTAATTACGAGTTTCTCGTATTGAAAAAACGATTCGATCAAAACTAAAACTCACAATATCATTGTATAGGAATGATGTTTTTGTCGGAGACTTAGACGTCTAAATGAACTGAAAGTTCCCGAACTCGTTCAAAGAAAAACAAATTATAAATGGACATTATATTGTTACAGTTTTGATGAACTTGAACTGAATATTGGAAGATTGATTTGACTCGAAGTTAAATATAAATATATGATTAGAAAAATGAATTAATTACAAATAGAATAGTTCAAATGGTTAATAAATAATCAAAAGTAAGAAATCAAAATTA